AATGATATGATAAAGATGAATAAAGCATCATTAATTCTTTCTCCCCCTTTGTCATCAATCAAGGGAGGATTTTCTATAATCTTTTTGCAATGCTCAAATTGATCATCATTCTTTTAGTCCCTTGCTTTTAATTTCAGACTTTCAAATTCCAGACGAACTTCCAGTACATGTTCCAGAACGTTTCTCAGAGTTGCAGCAGATTTTTCTTTAGCGGAAGCATAAGTATTAACAAGGATATTAGCTTAGCGTTGTTATCCAAAATTCCAGATGAATTTCCAGCAGTTTTAGTCACTTCGTTTTCTAATTCCAGCTGAACTTCCAGTTGAACTTCCAGTGACTTTTGAGTTTCAACTTTCGAATGTTAAGAGCATCAAAGTTATCCTATATGCCTGAAAAATTTATTTGCTCAAGGAATTCTTGGCACTTAAAGAATTAGAGTCATAAGTATATTATTATCACAAAATATTATCATTCCCATTTTTACTCATAAATCATGGAGGATTTACATATCAATAATTTACAATATGCAATGCATCGAAAAAATTCAAATATTATTATTAGCAATTAAAGCACTTACCATTTTCTTCAAATATAATTCAAATCAATTTTTGCATTTTGGTACCCAAATAAATTTACTGGTGGTTCCCATTTTATATGGACAAGAAAAAGATTTATGCCCAATTTTACCACAATAATTGCAAGTATTATATGATAAAGATGATGCATTCGATAACTTGCTCAATTCCTTATAATGCGAGTGAAAACCAATTCCAACTTTATCTAATGACACATTTTGCAAGCCAAGTAATTTATCGAGATTTTCTTTGCCCTTAGTGAATTTTTCAAGGCATTTATTCAAATCAATAACCTCGTTTTCTAGCACAAAATTCTTTATGGATAAAGAAGATTTTTCTTTTTCGCAAATAGTTAGCTTTTCAATATAAGAATCTAGTTTAGCTTCTATTTTATCTTTTTCATTATTGACAATAATAATTTTTCTTTTCAAGATATCATTCTTAGAAGCTAATTTTTCCAAATCTCTTTTACACTCATTTATCATTTCATGCCAATCGTCTTCACAATTAAAATCATCACATTCAAGGTCATCATGACATTCATCAATTAAGTAAGAACTACATACCTTTTCGTTTGTCATGAGACAAACATTTGCGATTTCCTCATCGGTCATAT